TATAAGACACACCCACCAGAGTGCCAAGTCAGTTTACCATTGCCATGGCAACACCAGGAAGTTACCACCCATTTCCATAGTGATGACTCAACAACCCAGAAGTTACAATACTTTTCCTAGAAATATCTGCATAAACTGCCCCCTATTTTGCATATGATTATAAGTGGGTATAAATGTAAGTGCAGAACTGTCTCTGAGCTCTATTCCGGGCACACTGACTATGGGGTATCCTTGCTTGCCAGGAGCAGTACCTCCGCTCCTGCTATACATGGCCATTTCAATACAAGTTGCTGTTTAACAATACCAGCTTGCCCTTGAATTCTTTCCTGGGAGAAGCTAACAACTCTCCCTTGCTAAAGCCCAATTTGGGAGCTTGTCTGTCCTGTATCAAACCCACTGCTTTGAGGATGTATCTTTTTTTTTTTTTGAGACGGAGTCTCACTCTTGCCAGGCTGGAGTGCAGTGGCACAATCTTGGCTCACTGCAACCTCCACCTCCTGGGTTCAAGCCATTCTCCTGCCTCAGCCTCCTGAGTAGCTGGGACTACAGGTGTACGCCACCACACCCAGCTAATTTTTGTAGTTTTTAGTAGAAACAGGGTTTCACCATATTGGACAGGCTTGTCTCGAACTCCTGATCTTGTGATTCACCTGCCTCAGCCTCCCGAAGTGCTGGGATTACAAGTGTGAGCCACCGTGCCCAGCTGAAAGCATGTCTTTTATTCCCAGATGAATGCAGCTCTATGTGTGCAAAGTATACTGAGAGGTGGTGGTGGGCCTTGTCTTCATCCTCTTCATCCACACAGCCCAAGTCAGAAAAAGTGAAGAGAGAAAGTAGATCTGCACACAGATATGACCAACATTCCTTGGTGCCATCAAAACAGACTCAATTCTGGGATTCCTGCTTCAACTACATGTTTAGCCTCTTCTTCTTAGAGGCAATTCCTATGAATCCAAAGCTCTTGAGGAACAGGGAGTAAAACAGAATGGTTATTGTCTGGAGCCTTCCAACTTTAACCCGGATACATTTACCCATCTTGTTTTGGCACATTAAAAAGGCTTTTAAGGATAGGCATGGTGGCTCACTCCTGTAATCCCAGCACTTTGGGAGGCTGAGGTGGGAGGATCGCTTGACCCCAGGAGTTCAAGACCAGCCAGGGCAACACAACCAGACCCTGTCTTCATAAAAAGTAAAAAAAATATATTAGCTGGGGTGGTAGTGTACCTGTAGTCCTAGCTAGTTGGGAGGCTAAGGTGGAAGGATCTCTTGAGGCTGGGAGGTCGAGGCCAGTGAGCAGAGATCGTGCCACTGCACTTCAGCTTGGTTGACAGAGTGAGACCCTGTCTCTTAAAAAAAAAAAAAAAAAAGGCTTTGGCTGGGCATGGTGGCTCATGCCTGCAATTCCAGCAATGGTGGCTCATGCCTGCAATTCCAGCACTTTGGGACGCTGAGGCCAGTGGATAACTTGAGGCCTGGAGTCCAAGACCAGCCTAGCCAACATGACAGAACTCTGTATCTACTAAAAATATAAAAATTAGCTGGATGTGGTGGCATGCACGTGTAATCCCAGCTATTCAGGAGGCTGAGGCACCTGAACCTGGGAGGTGGAGGTTGCAATGAGCAGAGATTCCACCCCTGCACTGCAATCTGGGTAACAGAGTGAGCCTCTGTCTCAAAAAAAAAAAAAAAAAGAAAAAAAGGCTTTAAAAGAAAAAGCTGAGGACTCAGAAAAATACCCTGGTTGGTGCTTTTCATTCTGAGCCTGGAATTATTCCATAGCTAGACTGCCTCATCAAATGTGTTTTAGTTTGTACCCAGTGATGAATTACTTATCTCACACTGCAATGACCAGAGGGCCTTGTGCCTGGTGAGCCCTGTCTTCTCTTCCTTTTTCAGTGACTGTCTCCCTGCAGGTGGGAAAATGTCTTTTGTGAAACCAGTTAAATTGAGTCAAAAAGAAATAACTGTATATGTTCCAGAAGGCTGGACAAACAACAGGACTAGTAATTTCAGCTCTCCAGTGATTATAGTTATTGTGCTTACGAAGAAACTCCTCCCTTCCTGCAGTCATTAACTGCTCCCCTCTGCTGCCCCTGTGACTGTCCTCACTATTTTTGCAAGGCCAAGGAATCTCTTGAAATGGAATTTCCTTCCCTTTAGGAATCAAAAGCAAACACTTAAAGTCCACAAGATGACCTATTTTTCCTTAACAACTCTTAGTCAATCATACTCTCATTGAACCTATCCAGCCAACTGAATATAGGAGGTAGTAGTACTGCCTACATAATTAGGAGTTCACTAACTGGACTCAATATCAAGACCTGTCTCCTGTCTGTCATTACAGACTATTATACAAGAGAATTATAGGATTTTAGAACTGCAAAAAGCCTTCACAGATTTTTTTCTTTCTCTTTCCCTTTCTTTTTTTTTTCCTCTCTCTCTCTTTCTCTTTCTTTCTTTATGGAGTTGAGGTCTTGCTTTGCTGCCCAGGCTGGAGTGCAGTGATGCTATCACAGCTCACTGCAGCCTCAACCTCTTGGGCTGAAGTGATCCTTACGGCTTAGCCTCCCAAGTAGTAGCTGGGACTACATGCCTGTGCCAGCACAACCTGGGATTTATTTATTTATTTTTTTGAGATGGAGTTTTGCTCTTGTTGCCCTGTCTGGAGTGCAATGGCCCGATCTTGGCTCACCACAATCTTCACCTCCTGGGTTCAAGTGATTCTCCTGCCTCAGCCTCCCGAGTAGCTGGGATTACAGACATGCGCCACCATGCCCAACTAAGTTTGTGTTTTCAGTAGAGATGGGGTTTCACCACGTTGGTCAGGCTGGTCTTGAACTCCTGACCTCAGGTGATCTGCCCACCTCGGCCTCCCGAAGTGCTGGGATTACAGGCGTGAGCCATGGTGCCCGGCCCACCCCTGGGCTTTATTTTTATTTTTAGAAATGGTCTGGCTATGTTGCCCAGGCTTGTCTCAAACTCCTACCCTCAACTGATCCTCTGACCTCAGCCTCCCAAAGTGCTGGGACAGATTTTCTAATAAACCCCTTCATCATACAGATGAATAAGCTAAAGTTTATAGTCCTTATCCTTGTGACGGTCACTGAGTGGGTACTCAGTAACTACTCGCTCTTTTGTTTATGGCCTAAGTTGTTCGAAATGACCAGTCCATACTAAAATACAAGCTTCCTAATTTCAACATCATTTTCTTTCCCCTCAATTATACTGAGTTATGTGCTTTCTTTTTCTTTTTTTTTAAAGATGGGGTTTCACTATATTGGTCAGGCTGGCCTTGAACTCCTGACCTCAGGTGATCCGCCTGCCTTGGCCTCCAAAGTGCTTGGATTACAGGCGTGAGCCACCACGCTTGGCTGAATTATGTGCTTTCATTGGGTCTAGTATAAAATCATTATAGCCAAAAAAAAAAAAATCATTATAGCCATGCTCACTTCGGCAGCATATATACTAATATGGAACGATACAGAGAAGATTAGCATGGCCACTGTGCAAGGATGACATGCAAATTCGTGAAGCTTTTCATATTTTATTTTATTTTATTTATTTATTTATTTATTTATTTTTAAGATGGGGTTTGACAACGTTGGTCAGGCTGGTCTTGAACTCCTGACCTCAGGTGATCCACCGCCTTGGCCTCCAAAGTGTTTGGATTACAGGCATGAGCCGCCATGCCTGGCCGAGTTCCATATTTTAAAAAAAAAAATAAAAAAAAAATAAAAAAATAAAATAAAATCATTATAGCCATAACTTATTTATTTGTTTATTTGACATAGAGTCTTGCTCTGTGGCCTAGGCTGGAGTGCAGTGGTGTGATCTTGTCGCACTGTAACCTTAGCCTCCCGGTTCAAGTGATTCTCTTGCCTCAGCCTACTGAGTAACTGGAATTACAGGTGCACGCCACTATGCCCAGCTAATTTTTGTATTTTTAGTAGAGATGGGGTTTCACCATGTTGGCCAGGCTGGTCTCAAACTCCTGACCTCAAGCGATCCACCCGCCTTGGCTTCCTGAAGTGCCAGGATTACAGGTGTGAGCCACCTCAGCCAGCCAGCCATACTTTTATTTTTTCATAGCTTGAGATATAATTCACATACCATGTGATTCACTCATTTAATGTATTAAATAAAGTTAAATGTCTTTTAGCATATTTACAGAGTTGTGTATTCATCACTATAATCAATTTTTGGAATATTTTCATTATCCCAAAAAGAAACCCCATACCTATTAGCAGTCACTCACATTTCCTCTCTCCTCACCCTCTCATGCCCCCTAGACCTAGCCAATCACTAATTCTCATTTCATATGAATGAAATCATATAATTATGTGGTCCTTTGTGACTGACTTCTTTCATTAGCAAGTATTCAAGATTCAGCTATGTCATGGCATGTACTTTCTTTAAAAAATTTTTTTTTTTTTAATCAGAGATGAGGGTCTCGATATTGCTCAGGCTGGTCTCCAACTCATGGCACAAGCCATCCTCTTGTCTCAGCCTCCCAAACTGCTGAGATCACTGGCGCGAGCCACCACTCCCACTCCCCTCACTCCCCCATACTTTCTTTTTATTGCCAAATAATAGTCCATTGTATGTATGTCACATTTTATTTAATTACTTATTTTTAATGACCCTCATGTGGAAACAAAATCATATATGTCACATTTTATTTATCCATTCATCAGTTGATGGTTATTTAGCTGAATTTTATTTTAACTAAATGTCATCTCTGATAACTAGCAGAAGCTTAAAATCAAGACATAAGTATATATCTATGTTGAACTTATACCTAAAGCAGCATACTTATTAGGAATGACAAAATCCCATACTTGAAAAATCGACATTTTTTTCTTTAAATTTTCTGAAGTGTATAATATCGTGGAAAGACAAAGTAAAGCCTTGCTCTATGTTTTCCAGCTCTTCTGACCCCTCAGGAAAATAGAGGCATGTATACAGATAGATCATTCTCAGCCCTCAGGAAGAGAACATAAAAGAGGAGAGATTCAGATCAAGACTTTTTCTGGTTTACAAATATGAAAGGTTACGAAGAAAAAGGGCATTTGGGGCTCACACCCAACCAGTTGGTCGGCATTCCTATGACCCCAACATCTAAACTACATTACGGTGAATGTGGGGTGAGGTTGAGAAAGGGAGAAAACACAGGCCGCAAAAATTCAGTACTATCCGGCACTTCATAAGACTTAGTATTTTCACCTTTGTCCTTCCAAATTTATGTTTGCTCTTGCCCAACCTTCATACTGTTTTTGTGGGTCTCCAGGTGGGTCATGCATAGGAAACTTTAGGGGACTACTTCATACATGGTGGGCAGTACTTGAACTTGTAAACCCCAAGCTAAGAGTAGTTATGATCCCGGTGGGTGGCCAATTCTCCCCCTAAACTCATGCTTGTCTTGTCTTTCCTTTCCCTCATCTTAAACGAGTTGGGGATGCAGAACTGAGTCACCTGCGGCAGATAGAAGGGACTTTTGGGAGTGTCTTCCGCCCCGTTCCATCCGACGTTTATTGCGGACTTTAGATAAGCACACCGGGAAGCGATCCTTGACTCAACCCGCCCTAGGCGTGGGCGTTGTGTCATTCCCCACACGTGACGCTCTCCCAGGCGGCGGGGACCTCATTTGTCATGGGACTTATTCACTCTAGTGACTCCACCTCTTTCCTCCTCTACTCCCCAACCTCTCACTTACCCTTTCCTTCCCCTTTCAAGACTTGGGGAGAGGATGGCTGGAGCCTGGAAATACCCGATGTCCCAAGTTGGCCAGACGTTGCAGACACACACACTATTTGGGAAAGTGCAACCAGTAACGTTCCGGTTTCACCCTTCTCCAGAATGCTATCACCCTTCCTGTTTTAGGCTATGATTACTCTTCCATAGCACAAAACAGTTCCATCCTATTCGAGACCACTTTTCCCCTTAAGCGGAACCTGGTTACGGTTGTTTCCCCTCCCCTTCTGTTTCCCGTTTTTTTCGGAGCCTGGAATTCTCAATCTGAATAATTGGTTTGAGTCCCGCCTCGGCCCGTTTCCCGTTCTAGCTGCGTGACCTTGAGAGCATCACCACTTTTCTGGGCCTACTTTCTTTGTTTGTGTAACAGGATCCAAACAACTACCGCTTTACGCGTGTTGTGGGAATGAAGTGCGAAGGTGTTTTGTGAACTCTAAAGCAATAGAAATGCCAGCTAAGTTAACTAAAGACGGCTCGTCATTCTTCCAGAACCCCTCCCTTTCCCCTGGGACCCGCCCCACGAATCCCGCGGGGGACGGACACTTCGCCCCACCCTCCGACCGCAGTCTTCCCCATTGGCGCCCGCACCGGCCGCGCGGCGCCGAGTGTTGACGCCACGGCTTCCTCCGCCGGCGCCCGATGACGCTAGCCCCGCCCCCCGCCGCGCCTGGCCTCCCGCGGCGCCCCGCCCCTCGGGCCGTCGCCGCGCCGGCCCCGCCCCGCGGATGACGTGTGGCGCGCGCGGCCCGGCCGCCCCGGCAGTTGGTGCAGCAGCAGTTGGGGTGAGACCTAACACCCCACCCCTCCCCTCCTCCGGCCCCGGCCCCGGCCCCCACCCCGCCGGGCCCAACCCCGGCCCCGGCCCGGGCCCCAGCCCTAGTCCCCGTCCCAGCCTGAGCCGGGCCCGTCCCGTGCGGGCCGGTGCCGCCCCTCAGCCGGCGACGCCCCGGGCCGCCCGCCCGCCAGCCACCATGGAGCTGGAGGACGGTGTGGTGTATCAGGAAGAGCCCGGAGGCTCGGGGGCCGTGATGTCAGAGCGGGTGTCCGGCCTGGCTGGCTCTATCTACCGCGAGTTCGAGCGGCTCATCGGGCGCTACGACGAGGAGGTGGTCAAGGAGCTGATGCCGCTGGTGGTGGCAGTGCTGGAGAACCTGGACTCGGTGTTCGCGCAGGACCAGGAGCACCAGGTGGAGCTGGAGCTGCTGCGGGACGACAACGAGCAGCTCATCACCCAGTACGAGCGGGAGAAGGCGCTGCGCAAGCACGCCGAGGAGGTGAGGCCGGCTGCAGGGCGGGGGCCGCGGGATCCGGCCTCGGGGGCGGCCGGGTCGGGGGTCGCGGCCCTGTCGGAGACTGGAGGCGCGACGGGCCTCCTGGAGGGCGGCTCTGAGGCCGAGGCCCCCCGGGACCAAGCCCTGCGGCATCCAGGTACCCCGGGACCCAGGCCAGCGTTGGAAGCGGAGGCCGGCTCCTGAGTGTCCTGGGAAGGGAGCGAGATAGAGGAGGCAGGGCCCCGGGAGGAAGCGGCAGCCTGGCCTGAGGACACCTGGGGATGTCCAAGGGCGGAGATTGTGGGGTGTCTGGTTGCATCTTGTTGTTGAGGGAAGTTTCCAACCACCGTGGGATAGTCAGATGGCGGTTCAAAGTTTTACCCTTGGGGAGGGGGACACTTCTGTCTTGGATATGTAACTTCCGCTAGTTCAGTACCTTTCCAGGGGGGTTGCTGTTGCTTTGGGAAGTTAGAGATCTCCCTCTTTCGGTCGATTTCTTCTTGACGTTTTAATCTTGTTGAGAAAGAGGTCTTATTTTATGTTCTGTGTGCCTTGGTTGACACTTTGTCAACTTTTAGATGTTGTGTGGCAGTACTCAATATATATATAAACAATTTTATTGGTATTCCATACCAAAGCATTCTTCCGTATCAGGTTGTAACCTTGGACAGTTCCCTTCAAAAATCCTCCGTTTATTTATAAAAAGGATTGGGGGGCGGGGTTGGGAAGATGTAGGTGACAGTTGGCGACACTTTTCCTCTGAGTTTTTTTTCTCAAACTGCTGTTTATACGTGCATTTGGCCGCCTGTTAACTCTAGCACCTAAGAAGTGACCTGGGTGCCCTCACTTCGACTCCTAACCTTTTGGAGTTTTAGGGTTCAAGTGACAGGTCTTTGGCTTCTTGAGAGTGATAAGGATTTTAGCTTTCAGGCTGCATTGGCGTTATTTCTGTGGACCTTATCAAAGGCAGGTGAAGTGTCCTATTTTTGTTTCTCACGTGCCTAGCACACCTAGTTAAATACATAGTAATCAAAGGAGGCTAAATAATTTATAATTGAAGGACTGACATGGTATTTTTCAAAAAGAATTGAAAAGATTTTAGGATGTCACATTTGTAGCTCATTTCCTAACACTGAATAGTAACACCATTAAAACTTTTTATGTTTTGGGCCGGGCGCGGTGGCTCAAGCCTGTAATCCCAGCACTTTGGGAGGCCGAGGCGGGTGGATCACGAGGTCAAGAGATCGAGACCAACCTAGTCAACATGGCGAAACCCCGTCTCTACTAAAAATACAAAAAATCAGCTGGGCATGGTGGCGTGTGCCTGTAATCCCAGCTACTCAGGAGGCTGAGGCAGGAGAATTGCCTGAACCCAGGAGGCGGAGGTTGCGGTGAGCCGAGATCGCGCCATTG